GCCATATCCTCTGAGAAAATACAGGGTAGTTGGGCGGGGCTAGTACTTGCTAAGATAAGACTGATTTTGGTAAATGATATATCCTCTGAAAAATAGAGGGCGGGTGGGCGGGGCTAGTACTTACTAAGATAGGATTGATTTTGCCCCTATTAAACTTGTAAAAACTTGTTAAATTTAAAAGTGTTAAATTGCATATTTCCATAGTAACGAGATAAATTCCTAAATCTGATTTGATATTTATTTTTTAATACAGTTATTAATTTTTCTGAGAGATATGTATAAGCAAATTAAAAAAATACTAATTATATATTAAAAATAAATCACAAGTATAAACTCATCATATATTGTACATTTTGGGTTGATTTAGGAATTTAACTCGTTAATATGGAAAATTGCAATTTAAGGCCTTTAAATTTCACAAGTTTTTACCAGATTAATAGAGGCAAAGTCAGTTTTATCTTAACAAATACTTGGCCCGCCCGCCCTCCCCCTATTTTCTCAGAGGATATGTCATTTGCCAAAATCAGTCTTATCTTGCCAAGTACTAGCCCCGCCCACCCAGCCCTATTCTCTTAGAAGATATGTCATCTGCCAAAATCAGTCTTATCTTACCAAATACTAGCCCCGCCCACCCGCCCCTATTTTCTCAGGGGACATATTATTTGCCAAAATAAGACTTATGTTGGCAAGTACTAACCCCACCCACCTGCCCTTTATTTTCTCAGAGGGTAGTACTTGTTAGAACTGTCCTAGAGAGCTATCCTGTGAGAAAATAGGGGCGGGTGGGCGCGGCTAGCGCTTGCTCAGATAAGACCGATTTTGGCAAACGCTATACCTTCTGAGAAAATAGAGGGCGGGTGGGCGGGGCTAGTACTTGCTAAGATAGAACTGATTTTGGCAAATGCCATACTCTCTGGGAAAATAGAGGGCGGATACGTGGAGCTAGTACTTCCAAAGGTAAAACGTATTTTGGCAAATGACATACTCTCTAAGAAAATAGAGGGCGGGTGGGCGGGGCTAGCACTTGCTAAGATAAGACGGATTTTGCCCATATTAAACTTGTAAAAACTTTTTCAGATAGATTTAGGAATTTAACTCGTTAATATGGAAATTTGCAATTTAACACCTTTAGATTTCACAAGTTTTTACAAGATTAATAGGGGCAAAGTCAGTTCTATCTTAACAAATACTTGGCCCGCCCACCCACCCCCTATTTTCTCAGAGGATATGTCATTTGCCAAAATCAGTCTTATCTTACCAAGTACTAGCCCCGCCCAATTTGGTCTAAATTCAAAGATAATTTTCTCAAAAAAACCTCTTTGGCTGTCACAAATGTTTCTACATCCATGACAGGATTATCTAAAAAATATTTAAACTATAATCGCAGTCGGGACCAGCGTACGTAAATTTTTTTACGACATATTTTTTTATGAATACTTTGTCTAAGACGAGCTTGTTTTATAGACGAACAATATTTTTTTGTTATTAAACCAGGACCGTTTTAATCACAATATATTTACTTATCCCCTCTAAAAAATTGATGACGTCACCTCAAAATTTTGCTGAATAAATCCTACCTAAATTGTATAAAATATGATGAGTCTCTTCTTGCGATTTATCATTCCATTCATGTTTTTTGGATTTGCATATACAGGATGACCCCAAACATTAATGAATGCGTAAATTTATTTTATTGATTTAATCAGGAACTACAGAACCCAATGCTTTGAAATCTTGCAAATGTTTTAAGGTTATAAAGAGCATAATAAATTTTTAGTCCAAATATATTTGTTTATCCCCTCCAAAAAATTGATGACGTCAGCTCAAAAGTTTGCCGTATAATCCTATTTAAAATTTACAAAATATGATGAGTCTCTTCTTGTAATTTATCATTCCATTCATATTTTTTGGATTCGGATATACAGGGTGACTCAAAAAATTTAATGAATGCGCAAATTTATTTTATTGATTTAATCAGGAACTACAAAACCGAATGCTTTGAAATCTAATGTGAAAAAAAAAAACATAATAGGCATGCAGTCGTCACGTTTCCGATAGCGAGGGAAGTACTGTCTAAACTCTTTAGACTAATTTTTTTGATTTTCTCTTTTTCCATTTCTCAATTTTTCAATGTTTCAGTTTGGGATTTTTTCACTGTTTCGATTCTTTAATTTTCCTTCCATTTTTAGGTTTTTCAATATTTCAGCTTTGGAATTTTGCAATATTTCGTTTCTTCAATTTTTCAAATTTTTGATATTGTTTTCTCGTTTTTTTTTAATTTTTCAGTTTTTAAAGTTTTAGGCTTTTAGATTTCTCACTATTTCGACTTTTCGATTTTTCAGTTGCACGATTTTTCAATTTGTCGAATTTTTAAATTTTAGATTTTTTGTTCTCGATCATTCAATTTTCTGAGTTTTCAGGCTTAGATTTTTTTTGTTGTTCAATTCTTCGATTTTTAAAATTTTTGTTTTTTAAATTTTCCTATTTATCAACTTACTGGGATTTCAATGTTTTGATTTTTTGATTGTTCAATTCCTCGATTTTTTGAATTTTCAGTTTTTGATACGATTTTTAAATTTTTTTGGTGGGCGGGGCTAATTATGTTCTTCGGTCGCGTGAGAGTGCAAACTAAAATACAATTGAAATGTTGGAAATTTTCGAATTTTTAAAGATTTGACGTTGCAGCCGAATCTTTAAAAAAATTTTGTCTAGAACCATAAAAACTGGATTATTTTTCAAATCAGCACGTTGGGATCGACATCTCGATATCCCAGAACTCTTTGTGGACTTTTAGGCCATTTTTTCAAAACTTAATTTTTCAGTACAATCTTTGCAGAATCGCGAACTCACTAATGGCAATTTTCAGGATCATAAAAAAAAAATTTTTTTTAAACCGAATATTTCAAAAAGCTTGCTCTGGAACAAAAAACTCTTATATTCTTCGAATTAGCACGTTGAGATTTGCATCTCAAAATTTTTTGTTAATCTTCATTCAAATCTGATAAAATAAATCACTGAAAAGCAGACAGGGTGGGTGGGCGGGGCTAATTATAAACTTCTGTCAAGTGGGAGTGGAAAATAATAATAGAATTTAGGAGGTGACAAGATAAAACAAGCGCTACAAAATTTTTATTTCGAGCTATTTTGATGAAACTGTAAAAACTGCTATATTTCAATCAGCGATTTTGGAAAGACGGCAGAAATTTCCGAAGAAACGAAGCCAAAACTGTCGAAAAAGAGTTAAAAATTGATCGAAAATATCAGAAGTGCCAAAATCAGTCTTATCTTATCAAATACTAGACCCGCCCACCCACCCTCTAGTTTCTTACAGTATATGTCATTTGCCAAAATCAGTCTTATTGCAGCAAGTACTCGCCCCACCCACCCGCCCTGTATTTTTTGGAAGATATGTTATTTGCCAAAAAGAGTCTAATCTTATCAAGTCTATCCCCGCCCACCCACCCTCTAGTGTCTTATAGGATATGTCATTTGCGAAAGTCAGTCTTATTTTAACAAGTTTTAGCCCCGACCACTCCCTTTTTTCCGATTTTAACGACGAATTTTATATCTGTTCAATATAAAAATATTGATTTTATTCAGATCGGATAAAATTAATCAGTGTAAAGAAGGCCGAGTGGGTGGGCGGGGCTAATTATGTTCTTCTGTCGAATGGGAGTGGAAACTAATAACAGAATCTAGGATGTGAAAAAACTAAAAAAAAGCACTAGTTGTAAGTTTTTTTGTTATACTTGAGAATAGTTGAAAAAATGGTCGAAAATGTCAAAAGCGCCAAAATCAGTCTTATCTTATCAAATTCTGAGTTTTCAGGCTTAGATTTTTTTTTTGTTCAATTCTTGGATTTTTAAAATTTTTGTTTTTTAAATTTTCCTATTTATCAACTTACTGGGCCTTCAATGTTTTGATTTTTTGATTGTTCAATATCTCGATTTTTTGAATTTTCAGTTTTTGATACGATTTTTAATTTTTTTTATTTTTCAGTTTTCAATTTTTGACGTTTCTAAATTTTTCGATTTTTCAATTTTTCGAATAACTGATTTTTTGATTTTCCCATTTCTCTATTTGTTGATTTTTCAATTCTTTCTTCAATTGTGATTTTTCAATTTTTCCATTTCTGGATTTTTCAATGTTTCAGTTTTGGATTTTTTCACTTTTCCGATTCTTCAATTTTCTTTCCATTTTTCAGTTTTTCAAGATTTCAGTTTTGAATTTTTTCACTTTTTCGATTTTTCAATTTTCCTTCCATTTTTCAGTTTTTCAGAGATTTTGCAATGTTTCGGTTCTTCAATTTTTCCATTTTTTGATGTTTCGATTTCTCGGTTTTTCAATTTTTCGATAGGTATTTTAATTTTTCAATTTTTAAGTTCTAGATGTTCCGTTAATTTTTTGTTTTCCTTGATGTTTCGATTTTTAAATTGTTTAATTTCTCGATTTATAAATTTTTCAATTTTTCGGTTTACCGATTTTTTTCATTTAAAATGTTTCAATTTTTCAATTATTAAGTTTTCGATTTTTCAATTTTGGTCTAATTTGAAAACGGTATTAATAATACATTTAGGCGAATAAACTAATAAGTAGATGGGCTTGATAAGCCTTGTTTGCTCTACAGTGTCTAAATTGTGTTTGAATAATATAATAATTATCTCGAATATTAAAATTACTATCCCAGCGCGTCAGGTAGATTTAAAGAAGAATTGCTGGTTGCGTTTAAGGCAACAAATGGCGCCCAATTCAAACTTGTCTCTCGTCTAGCGTTCCCCCGTAACTTACATCTAGTTAGTAACAATCGGTGAAATTTAGTGTTATAATGTTGGCATCATCAGCGCTTGACAGTTATGTCAAGACCTACTAATGTCGCCGAACACCACCGTGATTTAGATGGACAGGGCAGATCTTGGTGGGCCATGACAAAATCTAGGGACTTTGCGGTCAAATAACTGTCAAACAAAGTGTCATGGCTCCCTAGACCGAAATCCACCAACCTTCTCGTCCTTGGGGACTTCGCCCCCGCACGCCCCCTCGAAGCTGTCGTCGTCCTCCATCTTGTCGCACAGCAAATTCACCTTCGTCGAGTCCCCGTCGTTGAGCAAACTCAACTTCGACAGTCCCGTTTTCAGATCGACGTTCTTGTTGTTGACGAAAGCCAATCGCGACTCGGGGCGCTCGAAGTACTCGTTGGCGCTGAAACAACACCCGTTACCAACCCAAATCTCGAAATCCCCCAGTACTTACTCCTCTTCGGGACTGCAGTGCCCGATTAGGGGGCTCCCCATGTCGATGTTCGTCTCGCTGGACGCCGGGCTGTTGTCGGGGGTTCCGTGCGACGCGCTCAGCATCCCGATCGCCGGACTCGGGACTCCACTGTCGTCGATTCGCATCTCCGGCGAAATCCCCCGGTTGTTCGAGTCGGGGCTGCTGTTGTCGACCTTGTCCGAATTGTACCCCGACTCCATCCCCTTCGGCACCTCCTCGGAAGCTTCGACGTTGTCCTCCACGTCTGCGTCCGACTCGCTGTCCGACTTGTCCATGTTGACGTCCAGTCCCGACGGCGCCGGGTTGGGGCCTATCGTCACGTTCATGTTCCTGATGGATTTCTGCTTCTTGTTTTTTTTCCTCTCCGCGCGTTTCTCTTTCTTGATCTGGTGCTTCGACGGCTTGTTGTCGTCGATTTCTTCGGCTTTTCGCCGCAGCACTGGAGGCAGTTGTTTTTCGGTGATGGGTAGACTGAGGTCGAGGAAGAATTCGTCCCGGTGGGAGGTGTGTTGGCAGTCCTGACATTGCAGCGTGCTCACCAGCACCCCCCTGAAGACTTGCTCGGTCGGCAGCAACAACTCCGACGCCTGTTGTCCATAAAACTTGATGATTTTCTTCTTCTCGCCTTCGACCGTGCTGGGGTCCGTCTTCGTGTTGAGCCCCAGACGGTCGAGGATCACCGACTGGTATCTTCGTAAGTCCTCCTCGCGCACGGCCTCCAACAAGTGCCGCAACAACTCGTGAGAGTCGTGCTGGTCGCCGCCCCCGAACTGAGGCATGCGATTGGTCAGCTTCGCCAGAAGCATCCTCGGCACGTACGCCTCCTGGCGCCCGTTCTGGATCTCCGTTATCGTTTCGGCTAGAGTGCACGTGAGCGGGCGCCACTTTTCCAGCTGACCAGTCAGTGGCTCCACCACCGGCGAGTCGTTGTCCTGAGAGTTGATCTTACCCCCCGGCAACCGAAAATATTGACCTGGTTCGGACGTTTCCCGGAGGAGGTCGAGGAGGTAGGGAGTTTGGGCGAGGCACTGGACCACCGAGTTGAAGAAGCAGGTGTTGCCGAGGTTCATGAGGCCGCGGGGGCGCGGTAGGCTGGAGGCGGTGAAGTTGAACATGCCCCCGAAGAGCATGTTCGAAGACATCGGGACTAAGTCCATCACCTGGGGGACAAAAAATTCAGTCAATTTAAATGTTAAAGTGAGAGAGTGACTATTTAAAAAATATCGGTGACGTCGCGACCATCAGCGCCACCTCGTTTCCGCTCCACAAACCATCACTGATTTGTGAGTAAATACCAGGTCATGTGACGTATCGAAAAAGTGCTAATTTTATCCTGTCTGATAAGCGCAATCTGCGGAGGAAACCCCGCGATAAGCCCCATGGCCCCACTTACAGGCTGTTCCATCGGCTTGGCCATCACAGTGTTCTTGTTCTCGGCCTGCTTCTGCAGGTACTCCACCGCTTCCAGCAGCTTCTTCTTACACGTAACATTGACAACCTCATCACAGTCATAACACCACACGCTCCAGGTGCTCGTGTCCACGCAGATCGCGTGCGAGTCCGAGTGCGGGGTCTTGTAGTGCTCGAGCGCGTGCTTGTTGCGCGAGCGGCCGCAGGCCTGGTTGCCGCACCGCAGACACAGCCACAGCGAGTGGTCGAACTCGAACTCGGTGTCCATGTCCTCGGGCTTGGGCAGCCGCTTGCACAGCTCGCAGTCGCTGGCCAGACCCGACTTGATCAGGGCCTTCTTGACGCGCTGCAGGTCCACGGCCTGGCGCACGTGCCGGCACTCGGTCATGTTGTCGTTCTCGTCGCAGGACTCCGTCGACTCGTCCCCGGCGGGGTCGCCTTGGTGCTTCTTCTTGCTCATGCTTGCCCTTCAACTAATCACATTAACACGTTTTAACCTTCACATGCGGGAAGGCGCAGGCGGCGGCGGGACGCGCTGGGGGCGCAGATTGCGGGGCGGCGGCGATATTGGGCGCGGACTTCACTGAGAGTTCATTGAAGATTGCGAGAAATCGGGAGAAAATCACGACGACGATAACATGACACTTCACTTGTCAAGAAGGTTTTACGATGGAGGGTGACAGTTGGGGGGGAGGAAAAGTCCCTAGATGACGGCGGCGGCCGCCGAGGAAATACCCGCGGCGGCGTGACGAGCGGAAAAGTACCCAGAAATGCACGAACTGCAACCACGCCAAACCAAAAAAGGACTACCGGACCACGGCCAACTGTATTAATACATATGGCCATCCCAATTCGTATAAAAAGTTGATTCTTTGACGTTTCCAAAATCGTTAATCAGGCAACGACATCTGTTGAGTACAATTATGAACTTGGTTGGCAAATAATTGTCAAAATGACGTTTTAAAATATCACGTTTTTCTGAAAGTGTAGATAATGGCACAAGAACATTAATGATATTACTCCTACTATTTAGTTTTGAAATAAGATAGATATATTTTTACAAAACGAAAATTATTTAACAAAAAGGAAGGTACATATTCATAATTTTAAAACTTTTCTGCTGGTAGGTTTGTTACAAATCGTTATTTTCTTCAACCAGTCTGTTTGTTCCAAACAAATATTATCAATAACTGGTTTCACCGTTGCTCGAATAATTATATCACAAACTCTTGATTTATGTTCCAAGCAACAAAATAATGGATTTTGGTCCAAAGAAGGATGGAGCAGATTACATATTTGTTGACATGTCTTTTTGGAGTTTAAAAACGGTGGTATTAGAAAGTTTTTTTTAAAAAGGGTAACATTTAGATTCAGTTATTTGAAGACAAATCGTGAAAAATATTTTAGATTCGTAATCTGCGAAAAATTATCTATAAGCCAACTATTTTCCGTTGGATCAAATACTAGCCCCGCCCACCCGCCCTCTCTTACCTTGTAGGATATGTCATTTGCCACCGTTAGTCTTACCTTAGCAAGTACTAGCCCCGCCCACCCGCCCTCTAGTTTCTTGGAAGGTATGTGATTTGCCAAAATCAGTATTATCTTAGCAAGTACTATATTGTATATTGAAATGGCAAAATAAATGATTAAACAATAATTAAATAGTACTTGCTAAGATAATACTGATTTTGGCAAATCACATACCTTCCAAGAAAATAGAGGGTGGGCGGGCGGGGCTAGTATTTGATAAGATAAAACTGATTTTCGCACTTTTGACATTTTCAACTATTTTTCAACTATTTCAGAAAATTAGTTGAAGACATTTTTTGTAATTTCCAAAAATTTTTTGTCTGTAACAGTTAAAAGACGATCTGATCCAGCGGAAAATAGTTGGCTTATAAATAGATAATTTTTCGCAGATTACGAATCTAAAATATTTTTCACGATTTCTCTTCAAATAACTGAGAAATGCGAGAAAAGGAGTCCAAAAATTCCCAATATTTCCAAAAAATTTTAAACCGTTCCAAATGGCTTTATTTGAGAGAAAAACATTGAGTTTCTAGTTTTATAGAATACTAATCGCAAATTTACCTTATGAAATACTAGTCCCGCCCACCCACTCACCCTCCATTCTCTTAAAGAGTATGTCGTTTGCCAAAAATTGCCTTATTTAAGCAAGTACTAGCCCCACCCAGCCATCCTGTATTTTCTTAGAGATGTTTTTTACTGAAATCAGTTTTTTTCTTGGCAAATATTAGCCCCGCCCACCCGCCCTCTCTTACCTTGTAGGATATGTCATTTGCCACCGTTAGTCTTACCTTAGCAAGTACTAGCCCCGCCCACCCGCCCTCTAGTTTCTTGGAAGGTATGTGATTTGCCAAAATCAGTATTATCTTAGCAAGTACTATATTGTATATTGAAATGGCAAAATAAATGATTAAACAATAATTAAATAGTACTTGCTAAGATAATACTGATTTTGGGAAATCACATACCTTCCAAGAAAATAGAGGGTGGGCGGGCGGGGCTAGTATTTGATAAGATAAAACTGATTTTCGCACTTTTGACATTTTCAACTATTTTTCAACTATTTCAGAAAATTAGTTGAAGACATTTTTTTGTAATTTCCAAAAATTTTTTGTCTGAAACAGTTAAAAGACGATCTGATCCAACGGAAAATAGTTGGCTTATAGATAATTTTTCGCAGATTACGAATCTAAAATATTTTTCACGATTTGTCTTCAAATAACTGAATCTAAATGTTACCCTTTTTAAAAAACTTTCTAATACCACCGTTTTTAAACTCTAAAAAGACATGTCAACAAATATGTAATCTGCTCCATCCTTCTTTGGACCAAAATCCGTTATTTTGTTGCTTGGAACATAAATCAAGAGTTTGTGATATAATTATTCGAGCAACGGTGAAACCAGTTATTGATAATATTTGTTTGGAACAAACAGACTGGTTGAAGAAAATAACGATTTGTAACAAACCTACCAGCAGAAAAGTTTTAAAATTATGAATATGTACCTTCCTTTTTGTTAAATAATTTTCGTTTTGTAAAAATATATCTATCTTATTTCAAAACTAAATAGTAGGAGTAATATCATTAATGTTCTTGTACCATTATCTACACTTTCAGAAAAACGTGATATTTTAAAACGTCATTTTGACAATTATTTGCCAACCAAGTTCATAATTGTACTCAACAGATGTCGTTGCCTGATTAACGATTTTGGAAACGTCAAAGAATCAACTTTTTATACGAATTGGGATGGCCATATGTATTAATACAGTTGGCCGTGACCGGACAGAAATTAGGCGTCAGACAGCTAGGAAAATGCGAAATTCAAACGCGCCGCCGGAATGTCACCAATGATTGACGTTATGAGTGAGTCACGTGACGCGACTACACCAATTGCAAAAGAGCACAATTTCTTGGTTAATTTTTTCACAAATTAACAATAGTAATAACAATAATAATAATAAAAAAAATAATAGGAGCGAAAACGGCAGTATCCGTTTGTACTAAAACGCGCCAGCTCATTTTGCAACGATAACTCACGTCTTTTTGTAACTAGGAAACATAACCTCACTTTAGTGCCCCCAGGATGCGGCACGTAAGTTTCATCGCACGGACCGTTTTTGTCCAGAACAACGACGTAGAGGCGGCTTTTCGCATCCTGAACCGAATTTTGGGGCGCGAGGGAATTTTGGACCAATTCCGACGGACCCGCTTTTTCGAAAAACCCTTCCAGGTAATGTATAATTTTATATTAATTGCTAGCAAAAATAACCAATTTGGGTCTAGTTCCGCCGCCGCATTAATTTTGAACGGTGCAAAGCCATCTACAACGAAGACATGGACCGCAAAATCCAGTTCGTGCTCCGGAAAAACCGGATGGAGCCCTTCCCCGGCAACCCGTAATCCAACATAGTGAGATGTGTAAGCTTAAGCATACATATTTATTGTTACTTAATACATAGCCTTACTTATAAAATGGATTAGAATTCTTATCACAATCATCCCTAAATGGGTTATTCTCATCAAAATCCTCTTCCTCGTCCTTGGCGAAAGGGTTTTTGCTTTCGTCGTACTCGCTCTCAAACGGATTCGTGCCGGCGACATCCACACTGTAATCTCGCTTCCGCGTTTCGTAATTTTTCGGGACGTAACTTATATTGGCTTCAAGGGACGAGCTGTAGCGAGTCTCCTGCAGGCGTATCCTTCCTTCGGGAATCGGAATGAGCACTTGTCCCGATTGTCGTTCCGACTGTCTTAACCTAGCCTCCGCCCCTAGCCCGTAATTTCTGATTTCCGGCTCTATGATTAGTTTTTTCTCAGGAATGGCCTTCTCGGGGACGTCGTCCCGAATCACTTTATACTTATTAAAAACCCCTCTGCCGAAATACTCAGCCGCTACTGAAAACCCGTCGTGCGCTTTCTCCAATTGGGAATGAAACGTCTCGTGGAGATCCTTATTGTACTCTCGCGCTTTCAAAAGCTCTAGTAGATTCTTATTTTCGGGTTGGCACGCAGGACACTCGTTTTCCTCCTCGCAGAAGCTCTGGAAACAGTGTTGGTGGTAGCTGTGTTGACACAAAAAGTGTATAGTGGGCAGTTCGAGGGGGTGATGGCAAGCGGCGCACCTCGAGCCCTGAATCACTATAGTCCCACTCTTGAGAGTCTCCAGCTGCTCCTTCAATTTCTCGGTGTCTTTCTTATAGTTTTGAGTCAACTCCGAAATTTCTTTGCTTTTCTTTTGCTCTTGTTGCAACTCGTTGACTATGTACGACCTGATGTGTCCTAGTGTGATGTCGGCGCTGCCTGTACCCAAAGCGTCTACGACTAGTTGGGGCGACAGCAGTCTCTCTTTGGCTATAACAGTCAAGATTTCGTTGAGTAAGTCGATCGACGGGTTTTTGGTGTCTCTGACGCAAGACCACAACGCCTGCACCCACAAGGTGGGTTCTTGGTGGCCGAAACGTCGACAACACGCCAAAATCGAACTAGCGTCGTTTTTGGAGATGTGGTGTCTCAGAATTTGTTGATAGAGTTTTTGTTCTTCGTATAGGTAGAGAATTCCGTCGCTAAACGAGTGCATATGGCAGACAACCAAAGCCTGACTTTTGTCGTATTTAATGTCGGGGTTTTGTAGGAGTTTGAGTGTCTTTTGGGCGTATTTGTTACGTTCTGAGACGTTTTCCAAGTTCCCCCAGACGTGCAAATAGTGCTCTAGCAGTGTGTTGTATACCGGCGTGCTCAAAATGCAGCCCTCGCTAATCAAATATTCCAAAAACTCAACCAAACGCTCCGAGTTGTTCAAAAAAAGGTGAATATAGTCCTCTGGGTCCGACTTTTGGTTTAAGTCAAAGCTACCTATCAGTGAGTTATCTAGGGAATTGTTTGATTTGTAGTTGGTACAAAGTCGTTTCAAAAATTGGGTGCTTTCATACGGGGCGTTTTGAATTAAAATGTTTCCGTATTTTTTCATGAAGAGTTCCGCGTTTTCAAAATTCAAGTTGGAAATGTAGTCCAACACTTCCACGTACTTCTGGTGGTCTTCTATTTGGAGTTTGATGTACCAGTCGTGTTTTTCGTGTTTTTTGGCTAACATTAGTGCCTCTGCGGGACTTCCTTGTCGACATACTTTGATCGCTATGTCCACGTCGTAGTTCAAGTCGCCCTCTTTCATCAAAATGAACTCCTTCAAGCTATTAGATTGACCGACAGTGTTGTTGAGTTTGGTGTAACAGTTCAACAGTAATGTTGTATGGTCTTCGGTCGCGTGTCCTTGCTTGTGTAGCGCTTCCAAATACATCGTCAATTTTTCGATGTGTTGCGAATCCAAGAATTTTCGAATTACGTAGCTCGGCTCCAATTTCCCGATCGTTTTAATGTATTGTTCGATAGCCCCCACGTAGTCCCCCTTGTCGCATAAATGATCCCCGTACTGTCTAAATATATTTACTAACCCGTCGGAGTCGTACTGTTGCGATTTGGCGATCCGTATGGCTACATCATACAGATTTTTTTTGAACAGAAGCGACAATTTTGATTGTAAGTCTTTTTCGTCTAAGTGGTATAAGCGGTTGTCTTTGTCGAGAATATAGAAGGCGCCCCATTCGCTCAGTACGGCTCTGATGGAGCTCACGGTTGCTGTAAACACGATGAATTTATTATGGATGTCAAGAACCGTGATTAAGTCGCCTTGGATAGTCGGTTGGTTCTCGGGAATGGACAAACTAGGGCGGCTGGTTTTAGAAATGATGACGAGGTAGCTGCGGAACCACTCTAGCATGACCTTTTCGCCGTCCACGGCGTAGCAGGGACCACGACCGTCGGCTGTGTAGCAGTAGATAGCCTGGGGGGCGAATTGTCACTTGGGGTTTGACAAGGGGGCTACTTACGTCATTGCGGCCCACCATGAAGTGACTCTCGACCATGGACTCCGCCAAGACGCTGCATTTCTTGCCGCAGCCGATGTTGTCCAGTTGGAACTTAACTTCTTTGTCCTTGTGGGTGATGTTGTAAACAATGACGGAACTGTCGGTCGCCAGAAAGAGGAAAATGTTGGTGGAAGTGGTCTTGAAAGCGAGCCCCGTGACGGTCGAGCTGGCGTCCCGCAGGAGTTTTTGCTTGGAGCTGCGGTCTCGGGTGATGTCGCCCCTGAATGATTCAATTGATTGTTTTTTTTTATTTTGTTGAGTTGTTACTTAGTACCTGTATAAAACTAGAGAGCCGTCTACAAAACCCACGGCCATCAACTGCAGCCCATCGTGGACGCACAAACACGACGCATGTACAGGGCGATTTCCGGGGATGGCCCGCGAGATGCGGCAGCAATAGGGTATGCCGTTCTTGTCAAACCTGCTGGTGTCCCACACCTTGATCAGGGGGTTGATCCCGGGCTCGTCTTGCTTAAAGTAAAAATAATCACAGTTTCAAGCTAGTACGGGTAAACAGCCACTCAAGTGTGTTGGCGAAAGTTCAATCTTACCCCGACAGTGACCAACAGCGGCGAGTTTCGTAGCTGATGGGCTAGTTCTATGGTCATTTCGTACGCCCTGAAGACTCTGACGTGCCATGACCGCGACAATAAAAAAACCTGTCCGTTGGAGTCCCCCAGGACTATGTGGTTGTTCCCGCTCGACGTCACCGTCACTTTCGACTCCTGAAAGCACAAATCAGCCCCAAAACAACGCCACCATACGCCCCTTTACCTTAAAAAGTTCGGCGATTTTTCCCTCGTCGACGTCCTTCTTGAGGTCGAAGAAGTGGAACTTGCGCCACTGAAACAACGTGTTTAGGGCAAAAACTAGTCGAAATGGGTTGAAATACCTCTAGGAATGCCATTTCGGTGAATTTTCACGATTTGTTGCTAACCCCACGGTGTTGACATTTTGTTGAATGTGTCAAAACAGAGTGACATTTGAGACGTGAAAACTGAAAAATCCCTAGATTGACAACTTGAATACTTTATTCAACTATACACGAATTATCGAACAAGACACCCGTTCGCACACTTTGTTGTCTTTGGGGCCCGCCCTAACCTCGATTTTGGCAAAGGTGCCCCCGCCGCTGCCTTTCGTTAGCCGTTCGGGGTTGACAATCACGCAGTTCTCCATGACCTTGGCGAAGTGTCTGAAGTTTGACGGAAGGATCATGACGTGGGGGGCCTTCTCCAGCATCGCGCGTTGTTCGAGGAGTTGGTAGTCGACTCGCAGCTCCGAGTTCGGGGGGTGCAGCGGGTAGAAACTCCTCTGGTTGAAAATGTGCCACACTATTTGTCCAATTCGGTCCTGGAAGGCCCCTTTTGCAAACTCGACTTTGCCTAGGTGGAAGAGCACGTCTGCCGTGGACCCCGCGATCACCACGCCTTCCACGTCAAGCATGAACGGATTTGGGGCTAAATACAAGTTGTCGTACGATCTCTTCAAAGAGTAGGGTAGACTAGGGAAAACGACGTGGTTGTGGGCGTCTTTGTGTGACGGCACTAACACCACGCTCATACCCCCGGGAACCCGTTGCATGATTCTGTCAATAATACTTTCAAAGAAGGTGTCGAAACTTTCACATAAGTCGTCCAGGTGGGGGTGTCCTGCATCCAAGAACGGTCCCATTAAAATCAAAATGTTGGGTTTGGACTCCAGTACGTGGTTTAAAAGGGGCTCCAGAGGTTCATATAGTAAGTTTTCTGGAACAGTGAACGGGCCCGCTGCCACCATTATCTGAACAGTTTCTTCTAGATTAGGGGCTTGCGATGGAGGTAAGGGGGCCACAGTGAACGCCTCCGCCACACTAAACCAATCTTTGGTGTTATTGCCACTAAGAGCGACACTTTGCCCCGGAAACAGTCGCACGTTTTTGATTTTATTCAAATTGAGTTTCACCCGTTGGCCTCTATAAGGTTCCAGCAGCCCCTCGCAAAAAATCGAACTCTCATCTAATTTGCCTTGCGTTTGTGAACAAATCCGTCCGCAAATCGTCATTTCCCCCGAGTACTGTTTAAGCTTCTCCTTACTCAATTCGAGACTGTGGCGTCTGCAAATATCGCCAACGACCCATGCAGACATGGCATCCAGACAGCCCCTTTTCGCCAGAAATTTCTCATGCATGTACTTGCCTTTCACGCTTGAGTTGTGCATTTTTATGCTTAAATTCCGGCTGCAACGCTCTTTGAAGTCAGTTGATTCTCCGAACGAGTGGACGGCAGCCCCTGCGTCGCTCCGGTTGCTGAAACTCTCTGAAAGCACACTTAGTGGCGTGCTTTCCACCCTCTGGGGGCTTTCAGTCATTTCCACCTGCAGGTTTTGCCGCACTGGCGTGTGAATCGGGGTTGTTTCCATAATCATCCGATGGGACTGGGGGGTGACTGGTTGGGGTTTTGGTTGCTTCTGGAGCTCGGTGCGCTCCATTCGATCCAGAGCGTCGACACTGGGGGCCAGTGCGTGCGAATTGGAGGCGGCGTAGGCGAGCCATTGGTCGATGAAGTCCTCCGCAGGGATGGAGTGCACCAGGCAGAGTTCTTCGCACCGCTGGAGGATCCTGGGGGCCACGGATACGTTGAGCACTTTGAACTGGAGCGAGAGGTCTTCTGATGTTGACATCGTGGAATTCGGGCTGGTTTTGTCAAATTGAAATGTTGACGTGAAAAAGCGCGCGAAAATTGGGGCTTGCCAATGGCAAATCGTACTAAGTTGACAGCAAAAATCCCCAACTTGACAAGTCGTTTTACGTGATGAGCAAATCAAGTCTTGGTTCATTTTTAATCACGAACGTTTTTTATATGAGAAAATTCCAAACAAGTTCTATGTTTGTATTTTTGTAATTTTTCTTCGACTTTTGTAATTAGTTCCGTTTATTTGACAGAAAAATCCCCGAACCCGCATCGGTTGGTAGCACAATGGCTACTGTTGTCGTGCCATGCGTCTAAAATTTAGGTGTCGAGTTCGTTTTTGATGTGATCGAACCAATTTAAAATCAATTTCGGCAAACACCCGTCTAAACACACTTCCGCGACCATGACCGAGTCGACCGTGAACGGCAACGACGAAAACGAGCACGAAAAAGAGACAGTTTCCGACAAGGACTTGCCCCTGAGTTTCATGCAAGACAGGCACTTGGGGCCCATCGAAGGCGTCGAGTGCATAACGCAGACATGGCGCATGAAGGAGCGCGTAAGTCGTCCCCTGTCCCTCTGCACGCCCTTTTATTGTTACGTTTTAGATGAAAACCGTCAGTGTAGCCCTCGTCCTGTGCTTAAACGTAGGCGTGGACCCCCCCGACGTGCTCAAAACGCAGCCCTGCGCCCGCCTCGAGTGCTGGATAGGTGAGCCCCGCGCCGCCCCCGAGCTCGTCTAACCGGGTCACGTTCCAGATCCCCTCACCCTGTCCGCCCCCAAATCCATACAGAAAATCGGGGAGAACCTGCAGGCGCAGTACGAGCGGTGGCAGCCCCGCGCCCGCTACAAACAGTCCCTCGACCCCACCTCCGAAGAAGTAAAAAAACTGTGCACGTCGTTGCGCAGAAACGCCAAAGAGGAACGCGTTCTGTTCCACTACAACGGTCATGGAGTTCCTAAGCCCACGGAGAACGGGGAGATCTGGGTGTTCAATCGAGTAAGGCAACCGGATTGTGAAACGTGCGAGGCTCACTGACGTTTTCAGACATACACGCAATATATTCCTCTGTCCATTTACGATCTACAGACGTGGATGGGGGCGCCCTCGATTTACGTGTACGATTGCTCGAATGCGGGGATCATTATCGAGTCGTTCGAGCACTTCGCGATTCAGCACGAGCGGGAGTACGAGCAGGCGACGACTCAGACGAGGCAGACGGCCGTCGTCGCCCCCCTGCCGTCGTACAAGAGTTGCATTCAGTTGGCGGCGTGCGGAGCCAAGGAGGTGCTGCCCATGAACCCAGATCTGCCGGCGGATCTGTTCACGTCTTGCCTTACAACGCCCATCAAGGTCGCCTTACGATGGTTTGTTTTACAGTCTACCTCGAAACTAGTGCCCAAAGTCACGTTGGATTTAATTGACAAGTAAGAGCCCCAAATTCGCGGGCAAATTTGACCTTCTCCTTGCAGAATCCCGGGCCTTATCACCGATCGTCGCACGATGCTCGGCGAACTCAACTGGATTTTCACAGCAATAACAGACACCATCGCTTGGAACACCCTCCAGAGAGGTATTCGGCCCGCCCACCCACCCGCCCCCCACTACTCATCTCCCGCTTTCAGACTTGTTTCAAAAACTCTTCCGCCAAGACCTGCTAGTCGCCAGTCTTTTCCGCAATTTCCTCCTCGCTGAAAGAATACTCAAATCGTGCGATTGCACCCCCGTGAGCTCGCCGCTCCTGCCGCCCACCTCCCAGCATCCCATGTGGAACGCGTGGGATTTGGCGCTCGACCTCAGTCTCGGCCAGTTGCCGGGAATCATCAACAAGAACGAGCCGTTCCGGAATCTGCCGTTCTTCGAGGAGCAGCTGACGGCGTTCCAGGTGTGGCTGGAGCTGGGGTGCGAGGAGAGGAGTCCCCCGGAGCAGCTGCCCATAGTCCTGCAGGTGCTGCTGAGTCAGGTGCACCGGATGCGGGCGCTGGAACTACTAGGGAGATTTCTGGATTTGGGTCCGTGGGCTGTGAATCTCGCTCTGTCGGTAGGGATTTTTCCCTACGTGTTGAAGTTGTTGCAGAGCAGCGCGAAGGAGTTGAGACCATTGTTGGTGTTCATTTGGGCGAAAATCTTGGCTGTGGATAATGTAAGTTGCGGGTTTGATTTTGACAGTGGTATTAATTGGGTTTATTTAGACTTGTCAGGGGGACCTGGTGAGGGATAATGGTCACAAGTACTTCTTGTCGGTGCTCCAGGATACCTCTCTGTCGGTGAGTGTAGTATATAGCGTTCAGGGTGTTTTAGACAAAGTAGGTCATGAAATCTAGTGATTTAGTGATTTGGTTGGCAACCAATTTTATGCAAATATCCCTAATGAAAAATTAAGCCGTTGACGTTGGGTTTTCAACCAATCAAATTGCGGTAGTGTGCACTGCTGCCAACTTGAAGGAAAATCCCCTGAAGTAGAGGGGACATTTTTCTGGTTGACAGCAATAATCCCACGAAAATCAAATTTTGATAAGATAATGAGTAAATTTTTGTAGGAAAGTATCGATTTTGCAATTAAGCGGAGCTTAATTCACTGAAAAATCCCAAAACTGAAATATCGGAAAATTGCGAAAGTTGTAAAATATTAAAACTGAAAAACAAAAAAATTGCAAAATTACAAAATTGAAAATTTGGAAAAATAAAAATTGGAAAGTCGAAAAATTGGGAAAAATTATAAAAATGAAAAATCGAAAACATGTAAAATTAACATTGAAATTTTGAATTAAAAAAAAAATAAGAAATAATCGAGAAATTGGAAAATTTGACGTGTAATTAAAAAAATTATTAACTTAAAATACGACAGTTGAGAAATTGAGAAATCGGAAAATTGAAAAATCCCAAAATATGTAGTTAAAAATGTCGAAAAAGTGAAAATCGAGAAATGGAAAAATTGAAAAGTCGAGAAATTGAATCAAAATTACTGAAAAATCCCAAAACTGAAATATCGGAAAATTGCGAAAGTTGTAAAACATTAAAACTGAAAAACAAAAAAATTGCAAAATTACAAAATTGAAAATTTGGAAATATAAAAATTTAAAAATCTAAAAATTGGGAAAAATTATGAAAACGAAAAATCGAAAACGTGTTAAATTAACATTGAAATTTTGAATAATAAAAAAAAAATCAAAAAATAATCGAGAAATTGGAAAATCTGACGTGTAATTAAAAAAATTATTAACTAAAAATCGGACAATTGAGAAATTGAGAAATCGGAAAATTGAAAAATCCCAAAATATGTAGTTAAAAATATCGAAAAAGTGAAAATCGAGAAATGGAAAAATTGAAAAGTCGAGAAATTGAATCAAAATTACTGGAAAATCCCAAAACTGATGAAATATCGGAAAATTGCGAAAGTTGTAAAACATTAAAACTGAAAAACAAAAAAATTGCAAAATTACAGAATTGAAAATTTGGAAAAATAAAAATTTAAAAATCGAAAAATTGGGAAAAATCATGAAAACGAAAAATCGAAAACGTGTAACCTTAATATTGAAATTTTGAATAAAAAAAAAATCAAAAAATAATCGAGAAATTGGAAAATCTGACGTGTAATTAAAAAAATGATTAACTGAAAATCGGACAATTGAGAAATTGAGAAATCGGAAAATTGAAAAATCTCAAAAATATGTAGTTAAAAAAAAAAGTGAAAATCGAGAAATGGAAAAATTGAAAAGTCGAGAAATTGAATTAAAATTACTGAAAAATCCCAAAACTGAAATATCGAAAAATTGCGAAAGTTGTAAAACATTAAAGCCGAAAAACAAAAAAATTGCAAAATTACAAAATTGAAAATTTGGAAATATAAAAATTTAAAAATCGAAAAAATTGGGAATAATTATGAAAACGAAAAATCGAAAACGTGTAAAATTAATATTGAAATTTTGAATTAAAAAAAAAAAATCAAAAAATAATCGAGAAATTGGAAAATCTGACGTGTAATTAAAAAAATGATTAACTAAAAATCGGACAATTGAGAAATTGAGAAATCGGAAAATTGAAAAATCCCAAGATATGTAGTTAAAAATATCGAAAAAGTGAAAATCGAGAAATGGAAAAATTTAAAAGTCGAGAAATTGAATCAAAATTACTGAAAAATCCCAAAACTGAAATATCAGAAAATTGCGAAAGTTGTAAAACATTAAAACTGAAAAACAAAAAAATTGGAAAATTACAAAATTGAAAGTTTGAAAAAATTAAAATTTAAAAATCGAAAAATTGGGAAAAATTATGAAAATGAAAAATCGAAAACGTGTAAAATTAACATTGAAATTTTGAATAAAAAAAAAAAAAATCAAAAAATAATTGAGAAATTCGAAAATCTGACGTGTAATTCAACAAATGATTCATTAAAAATTGGCAATTGAGAAATCGAAAAATGTAAAAATATAAAATTGACAAATCGAATAATTTTAAAACGGAAAAATTGCAAAACCAGATACATAGTAAGTTGCAAAATCGAAAAATACTAAATTTAAAAATCGAAACATTGCCAAATTGTGAAAATGAAAAGTCAAAAAGTTGAAAAATTGAAGTTAAAAATTTTGAAAAATCGAAAATCAAAAAATTGAAATGACGAAAAATTTTAAAAACGAAGAATTAGAAAAATTGAGAAATTGAGTAATTAAAAACCGCATGTAAAATTGGAAAGTTGAAAAATCATAAAAGGGTAAAATCGAAAAAGTGGAAAACCGCATACTTTTAAAAACGAAAATTGTAAAACAATTAAACGGAAAAATAAAAAATTTGAAATATTAAAATTAAAATTTGGAATAATTAAAAATCAAGAAATTGAAAAGTTGTACAAGTACAAAATTAAAAAATTTGATAGTTGTAAACTGGAAAATTTATCAAAGTGCAAAAATGAAAAATTGCAAACTATTAAATTCAAAACGAACGATTTTAAAATCGAGGAATTGGAAATTCCGATAATTGAAAAATCAAATTTTGAAAAACTGATTCATAAAAAAATGAACAATTGAAAAAGTGATGATTTGTAAAAAATATAAAACAAAATTCGTACAGTTTTAAAATGGAAAAATTGAAAAATCAGGCAATTGTAAAATAGAAAAATTACAACAGTGAAAAATCGAAAAATCGACATACTTATCAAAAAATTGAGAAATCAAAAAACTGAAAAATCCCAAAATAGTTCGAAATATCGAAAAAGTGAAAATCGAGAAATGGGAAAATTGAAAAGTCGAGAATTTGAAGAATCAAAATGACTGAAAAATCCCGAAACTGAAATATCGGAAAATTGAAAAAGTTGTAAAACATTAAAACTGAAAAACAAAAAAAGTGCAAAATTACAAAATTGAAAATTTGGAAAAATAAAAATTTAAAAATCGAAAAATTGGGAAAAATTATGAAAATGAAAAATCGAAAACGTGTAAAATTAACTTTGAAATTTTGAATAAAAAAAAAAATCAAACAATAATCGAGTAATTGAAAAAATGCTTCATTAAAAATCGGACAATTCAGAAATCGAAAAATGTAAAAATATAAAACTGGCAAATCAAAAAATTGCAAAATTACAGAACTGCAAAATTGGATAATTGTAAAATTGAAAATCGAATAATTTTAAAACGGAAAAATTGAAAAACCAGTAAGGTGTAAAATTGAAAAATACTAAATTTAAAAATCGAAACATTTCCAAATTGTGAAAATGAAAATCAAAAACTTGAAAAATTGAAAATCAAAATTTTGAAAAATTAAAAATCAAAAAATTGAAAAATCGAAACCATGAATTTCGAAATATTGAGAAAACAAGAATTGAATGATTGAGTAATTAAAAACCACATAATTGAATTAAACGGAAAAATAAAAAAATTGAAAAATTAAAAATTGAAATTTGGAATAATTAAAAATCAAGAAATTGAAAAGTTGTAAAATTAGGAAATTAAAAAATTTGATGAGTGTAAACTGGAAATTTATCAAAGTATGAAAACGAAAAATTGCAAACTATTAAATTTAAAACGAACGATTGAAAATCGAGGAATTGGAAATTTTGAAAAACTGATTCATTAAAAAATGGACACTTGAGAAAGTGTTGAGTTGTAAAAATATAAAACTGAAAATTCGTACAGTTTTAAAATGGAAAAATTGTAAAATCAGACAATTGTAAAATAGAAAAATTACAACACTGAAAAATCGTAAAAGTGCCAAATTGTGAAATTGATAAATCAAAAACTTGGAAAATTGGAAATTGAAATTTTCAAATATTAAAAATCAAAAATTAGAAAATCGAGACAATGAAATTCGGATACCTCTATAAACGGAAGTTTTATAAAATAATTAAACGGAAAACCCAAAACTTGAAAAATTAAAATTAAATTTGATTTTCCGTTTTTAAAGATATCCGAATTTCATTGTTTCGATTTTCTAATTTTTTGATTTTCGGATTTCATTTTTTTCCCTTTTTCGATTTTTCAATTTTGTAATTAATCTATTTCACAATTGTCCGATTTTTGAATTTTTGAATTTTAAAATTATGCGATTTTTCAGTTTTGTAATTTTACAATTTGTTTGATTTTTTAGTTTAATATTTTTTCAATTTCTCGATTTTTCATTTTTAAATTGTTCATTTTTTCAAATTTAATAATGTTGCAATTTTTCTTTTTTACATGTTAATAAATTTACGAGTTCACAATTATGCAATTTTTCAATTTGGTAATTAATTTTATATATTTTTTTATTATTCGAATTTCATTGTTTAGATTTTTCATTTTTTTTTTTTTTATTTTTTCAATTTCATAATTTCCCATTTTTCGATTTTTAATTTTGTAATTACTCAATTTTACAATAATCCAATTTTGTAATTTTGCAATTTCTTGATATTTAAGTTTTCAAAATTTCGATTTTCAATATTTCATTTTTTTGATTTTCCAGTTTTAGTTTTGTAATTTTTCAATTTTGTAATTTGCATATTTTTTTCATTTTTCAGTTTGATATTTTTAAATCTCCAAATTTCTCGATTTTTCAACTTCTCAATCCATATTTCCTTATACAAATTTTCCATTTGATAATTTTTTTTTATTCGCCAAGAACCAAGGGGGCGGAGCTTAACTGAAAATACTTATTTCTTTGCAAGAAATTAAAAACATGGTTTTGAGTATCGTGTTTTCAAAGAATACTACGTATAATAAGAAAACAAAAAGGCAAAATATAAAACCTTAAAACATGTTTAAAATGGTAAACTCTTGGAGGCAAATATGGATTTTGCAATTAAGCCCCGCCCCTCGATCTGACAACGAATGAAAAATTCATCACGATTGAGATCGAGACGGATGGGTGGGGCTTATCATTTGTTTTTTTTTTTTTTAATTTCTCGTAAAGAAATAAGGATTTTGCAGTTAGGCTCCGCCCTCTTGACTCACGACGAATTAAAAAAATCATCACAATCGAGATAGGGTGGGTGGGCGGGTCTACATTTTCCCTTTTTTTTTTCTTAATATGTGCAGATAACGGAGTTTATAAATTACTACAATTCTCAGCTCTAAAAGCAACGTCAGCGGGAACAGCAGCTTCAACGTCAACACCAAGTTAACTCTTTGTTAATGATTTGCTTCCAGTCTGAGTACCGCACCCAGTCGGCGTTCGTCCTCGCCTCCATCGTCAACAACTTCCACGACGGCCAAGAGGCGGCCTTGAAGGGCTCGCTCGTCAGCATCTGCTTGGAGCAGCTCAACGACCCCAGTTCGCAGCTGCGCCAGTGGGTGGCCATCTGCTTGGGTAAACTGTGGGACCACTACGAGAACGCCCGCTGGACGGGCGTCCGCGACATCGCCCACGAGAAGCTCTACAGCCTGTTGAACGACCCCTGCCCCGAGGTGCGCGCCGCCGCCGTCTACGCTTTGGGCACTTTCATAAACTCGGTGACCGAGCGATCCGAGCACGCCAACAACATCGACCACGCCATCGTGATGACCTTGGTGAAGAGGGTGAGCAACGACATGAGTCACCTGGTGCGCAAGGAGCTAGTCAACGCGCTGCAGTGGGTCGTCATCGCCTTCGAGCACGTTTTTCTTACGCTAGCCATGAAGGAGACGCTCAGTAATTTGCAGGAGGTGGTGGCGTCGCCGGGGTTGAAGCGCACGGGGAGTAGGGATAGGTTGCGCACGTCGGAGGATGGGATGGATAAGATGAAGAGGGTGTCGTCGAGTTCGTCGATTAATAACATGGGACACATGAAGAGTTCGTTGAGTCATACGGGGAGTCTGGGGACGTTGCCGGGGTTGGGGTACGGGTCGATATATATGAAGATCTGGGATGCGTTGTGTATGTTGGAGAGCGATCCGCATCCAGAGGTGGAGAGCATGTGTAAGACTATTACGAAACACATCGCTGCTAAAGTGAAGGAGTCGAGGGAGTTTGCGGATAATAGGTGTGCGAGTTTGCCCCCGAGTCCCAATAGGGGGAACTACTTGTCGGGGGAGAGCCCCCCGACGCTGCACCCCGCAGCCGATATACCCAAGTACACCAGGACACTAGGGAGCAGAGGAAGGAAAATACACCCGAATATCATCAACGAGGAAACGGACGTGAAAATGAAGCAGAGGAAGCCGCTGGTGGGCACGAAGTTCATAGAGTGGGCTTGCAAAAGGTTTGCACAGTCGAAAAAAAAGGGGGCCATGATGGACGTGGAGTCGGCGGTATTTTACGAGAAAGATTGGAGGTACACGAGGTGATTGAACCCAGTGCTGAGTCGGCTAAAGCTAATTTTTTTTGGTGTTTTTTTTTTTTGGCACAGGAATAACAATATTCGTAAAGAAGCGCTAGAAGAGACCTCCCGGATCCAGTCGGCGAAACTCGAGTCTCAAGTTTTCAATACTCGGACGTCTTTGCCTCCCAGTGTGTTACAATTCCACCCATTCGACCAGCAGATCGCCGTCGCTGGGAAGGACCATTTCGGGTACAACCGCCATGATACCTACCATTCGCTTTATTTAATCCCGTTGTTCCAGAATATGGGACTGGGGCACGGGCGCCAAGACCACCGTTTGTCATAACAAGTCCGCCAAGTTCTCCTCTAGTCGCATCACGGCCTTGGAATGGATCAACGCCCACGACGTCGCGATGCTGATGGTCGCTTCGGACGATGGTAGTGTCAAGGTAAGTGGCTAATCGTCCCCACCATCAATGGGATGACGTCATCTCCAAAATTTACAATAATATTGTCCGCCGGCCGACTTTCTACTTTTATTTTCTCGATTTTATGTCACAAATTTTCATTTTTTCAATTTCTTTATTTTTTTTGTTGTTGCTTTCTCTTTACAATTCTTTATTTATTCAATTTTTCAAATTTTCGGGCTTTGATTTTTCAATTCCATGATTTTCCACGTTTGAAATTTTTCAATTTGCAGTTTTTGGGTTTCCAGTCATCCAATTTTTCAATTTCTTTAATTTTCTATATTTTGATTTTACAATACATGTTTCTTTTTTTTTTATTTTTCACTTTTTCGAATTTTAAGTTTTTCAATTTTTAATCTTTCGATTTTTCAAATTTTCGTTTCTTCAAATTTTCATGGTTGATTGTCACTTTTGACATTTTTCAAGTTTTCATCATAAACTTTTTCGTTTTTTTATTTTTGATTTTTCAATTTTTCGAATTGCAATTTTTTCATTTTGCAATTTTTCGGCATTACAGTTTGTCATTTTTCGATTTTTCACATTCTCAGTTTTTAATTTTTGTCATTTTCAATTTTTCGTTTCCTCAATTTTTCAAGTTCTCGATTTTTATTTTTCGTTTTCCCGATTTTTTTAATTTTCATTTTCTCGATTTTATGTCACAAATTTTCATTTTTTCAATTCCTTTGTTTTTTGTTGGTTCTTTCGATTTTTCAATTTTTCGTTTCTTCAATTTTTCATGTTCCCGATTTTTATTTTTCAATGTGGCGAATTTTTAATTTTTATTTTCTCGATTTATATCACAATTGTCCGTTTTTTCATTTCTCTTGTTTTCTGTGTTTTACAATTTTTCATTTGTTCAATTTTTCAAATTTTCAGGATATGAATTTCCAGTTCGTCCACTTTTCAATTTTAAAATTTTTCACTTTGCAGTTTTTGGATTTCCAGTCTTCCGATTTTCCAATTTCTTTAATTTTCAATATTTCTATTTCATAATACATATTTCTTTTTTTTTTGTTTTTCATTTTTTCGCTTCTTAAGATTTTTCAAGTTTTCATTTTGTAATTTTTCGTTTTTTATTTTTGATTTCTCAATTTTACGATTTCTCGACTTCCAAAACTTCAATTTTTCGTTTCTTCAATTTTTCGGTTTGCATCGGTTTTTCAATTTGGCAATTTTTCAATATTACAGATTTTCATTTTTCGATTTTTCAGTTTCTCAATTTTTAATTTTTCCCTTTTCGAATTTTTTGTTTCCGATTTTTATTTTTCATTTTCCCGATTTTTTAATGTTCACTTTTTCGATTTTATATCATCACAATTTTTCGTTTTTTCATTTCCTTTATTTTTTGTTGTTTCTTTCAATTTTACAACTTTTCCTTTATTAAATTTTTCAAATTTTCAGGTTTTTAGCCATTTTTCTTCAAATTTTCAAGTTTGATTTTCACTTTGTATATTTTTCAAGTTTTTATTATACACTTTTTCGTTTTTTTTTGGTTTTGATTTTTCAATTTTACAATTTGTCGACTTCCAAATTTTCCAATTTTTGAATATTACAATTTCTCATTTTTCCATTTTTCACATTCTCGATTTTTAATTGTGCCCTTTTTCAATTTTCCGTCCCCTCAATTTTTCAACTCCCCGATTTTTATTTTGCATTTTCCTGATTTTTTTTTTTTTCATTTTCTCGATTTTATATTACAATTTTTTGTTAGATGTTTTGATTGTTCAATTTATCAATTTCTCAATTTTTTTATGTTTCGATTTTTCCAGTTATCCGATTTTTCAATTTTTTTAAATTCTGTAGTTTCGATTTGTCGATTTTTCAGTTTTTCGATTTTTAAGTTTTAGATTTTCGAATTTTTCTTTTTTGATTCTTTGATGTTTGGATTTCTCCATTTTCAATTTTGCGATGTTTCAATTGTTCAATGTTTTAAATTTTAGATTTTTCGATTTCTGGATTTTTTTGATTTTCCAGTTCTTCAGTATTTCTATTTTACAATTTTTCAAATTTTGACCTTGCTAAATTTTCAATTTTCCGAATTTTTGATTAATATATCTTATTTTTTTATTTTCCTGTTTCTCGAATTCGTAGTTTTTGGGTTTCCACCCCTTTTTTACTTTTCGGATTTTCAATTTTTCGTTAAACTTTAGATTTCTCAAATTTTCGACAGTTTTATACTTCGATTTCTTAATTTTTTTTTTTCAACTTTTCGATGTTTTAATTTTTCTTTTTGATATTCAATTTCTCGATTTATCAATTTCTCAATTTTTTTCTATTTCTCGATGTTTCGATTTTTGGTTTTCTCGGTTTTTCGATTTTTCAATTTTTTTAAGTTTTAGATTTTCGAATTTTTCTTTTTTGATTCTTTGATGTTTGGATTTCTCTATTTTTCAATTTTGCGATATTTCAATTGTTTAAATTTTAGATTTTTCGATTTCTGGATTTTTTGATTTTCCAGTTCTTCAGTATTTCTATTTTACAATTTTTCAAATTTTGACGTTGCTAAATTTTCAGTTTTCCGATTTTTCAATTAATATATATATTTTTTTATTTTCCCGTTTCTCGAATTCGCAGTTTCGATTTTTCAGTTTAGATTTTTCAATTTTCGACTGTTTTCGATTTGTGAATTTTTCGAGTTTTCAGTTCTTGTATATTTTAGTTTTTCCTTTTTCCGAATTTTTTTATTTTTCAATTTTTCAATTTTTTGAGAACTCGATTTATCAGTTTTTCGTTTTTTATACTTTTCGGTTTTTCGATTTTTAATTTTCCGATTTTTCAATTTTCCAATTTTTTAAATTTTCAAGTTTTGACGTTTTTGAATTTTCAGTTTTCCGATTTCTCAATTAATTTATTTTTTCATTTTCCCATTTTCGACTTGCCAAGGTTTCGATTTTTCCGTTTTTCACTTCCCCAATTTTTCGATTTTTCAGGCTCCAGATTTTTCAATTTTTCGGCATTTCGATTTCCCAATTCTTCAATTTTTCAATTTTCGGATTTTTTAGTATTTCGACTTTTGGATTTTTCACGTTCTGGATTTTTCGATTTCTCGACTTTTTACTTTTTGGATTTTCAATTTTCGTTTTTTGAACTTTCGCTTTTCACAATCTTTCAACTTTTCGATATTTCAAGTTTTCAATTTTTAAAATTTTAAATTTTTCGATTTCTCGAGTTTTCAGTTCTGCTATATTTGAATTTTTAAGTTTTAGATTTTCGATGTTTTCTTTTTTGATTCTTTGATGTTTGGATTTCTCCATTTTTCGATTTCTGGATTTTTTGAATTTTCAGTTCTTCAGTTCATCCATTTTTCAATTTTTAAATTTTTCACTTTGCAGTTTTTGGATTTCCAGTCTTCCGATTTTCCAATTTCTTTAATTTTCAATATTTCTATTTAATAATACATATTTCTTTTTTTTTTATTTTTCACTTTTTCGATTCTTAAGATTTTTCAAGTTTTCATTTTGTAATTTTTCGTTTTTTATTTTTGATTTTTCAATTTTACAATTTCTCGACTTCCAAAATTTTCAATTTTTCTGTTTGCATCAGTTTTTCAATTTGGCAATTTTTCAATAATCACAGATTTTCATTTTTCGATTTTTCATTTTCTCGATTTTTTAATTTTCACTTTTTCGATTTTATATCACAATTTTCCTTTTTTTGATTTCCTTTACTTTTTGTTGTTTCTTTCGATTTTACAATTTTTCCTTTATTAAATTTTTCAAATTTTCAGGATTTTAGCAATTTTTCTTCAAATTTTCAAGTTTGATTTTCACTTTGTACATTTTTCTAGTTTTTATTATACACTTTTTCGTTTTTACTTCCCGAGCGTAAGCAAAGGAAGTATTGTAATCGAGTCCGTCGGCCGACTCTCTACTTTTACGTTTTCTCGATCTTTCATGACCCCTAGAAGACGAAGAAATAGGTCTCCCATTTCCGTCTGTCTGTCCGTCTGTCCGTCTGTCCGTCTGTACGTCCGTCTGTCCGTCTGTCCGTCTGTCCGTCCGTCTGTCCGTCTGTCCGTCCGTCTGTCCGTCTGTTGTCCCGGATTTTTATTAGACAGATAATCTCCGAAAGTACTCGACCGATTGTTGTGAAATTTTGTACTTATATTAAGAATATCATGTAGATGGTAAAACGCTAACCAAAATTTGTCTAATCATCCCCACCACTAATGCGATGACGTCACTTCAAAATTGTACATAGTAAATGGGTTTTCAATTGTATAAAATAACATAGTCCTACACATGTAGTTTACAACTCCGAATCGACTTTTCACCCGAAACGTCCAGATTTTTGGAAAAAAAATCAAAATTATAAAACAACATTTTGAAATTTAATTTTTAATCTGCTAACCAGAATGCTTTGAAATGTTGCAGATGTTTTAAGGCTATAAAGAGCATCATAAATCTTTAGTCAAAAAATATTTGCTTATCCCCTCCAAAAACTTGATGACGTCAGCTCAAAAGTTTGTGGAATAAATCATATCTAAAATGTACAAAATATGATGAGTCTGTACTTGTGATCTATCACTCCATTCATATTTTTTGGATTTGCATATGCAGGGTGACTCAAAAAAATTAATGAATGCGTAAATTTATTTTACTGATTTACTCAGAAACTACAAAACCGAATGCTTTGAAATCTTGCAGATGATTTTAAGGTTCTAAAGAGCATAATAAATGTTTAGTCAAAATATATTTGCTTATCCCCTCCAAAAAATTGATGACGTCAGCTCGAAAGTTTGCCGAATAAATCCTATCTAAACTGTAAAAATATGATGAGTCTGTACTTGTAATTTATCACTCCATTCATATTTTTTGGATTTGCATATACAGGGTGACTCAAAAAAATTAGTGAATGCGTAAATATATTTTATTGATTTAATCAGGAACTACAAAACCGAATGCTCTGAAATCTTGCAGATGTTTTAAGGTCATAAAGAGCATAATAAATGTCTAGTCAAAATATATTTGCTTATCCCCTCCAAAAACTTGATGACGTCAGCTTGAAAGTTTGCCGAATAAATCATATCTAAAATGTACAAAATATGATGAGTCTGTACTTGTCATTTATCACTCCATTTATATTTATTGGATTTGCATATACAGAGTGACTCAAAAAAATTAATGAATGCGTAAATATATTTTATTGATTTAATCAGGAACTACAAAACCGAATTCTTTGAAATCCACTGCGAAAAAAAAAACATAATAGGCATGCAGTCGTCACGTTTCCGACAGCGAGGGAAGTACTGTCTAAACTCTTTAGACCAATTTTTTAAACTTTAGATTTTTCAATTTTCGACTGTTTTGTATATATTTCGATTTGTGAATTTTTCGAGTTTTCAGTTCTTGTATATTTTAATTTTTCTTTTTTCCGAATTTTTTTATTTTTCGATTTTTCAATTTTTTGAGAACTGGATTTATCGAGATTCGGATGTTCCGATGTTTTGATTGTCTCAGTTTTTGATTTTTTCAATGTTTCGATTTTTCGATTTATCGGTTTTTCATTTTTTTATTTATCGGTGCTTTTCAATTTTTGAATTTTCCGATTTTTCAATTTTCCAATTTTTTCAATTTTCAAGTTTTGACGTTTCTGAATTTTTAGTTTTCCGATTTCTCAATTAATCTATATTTTTATTTTTCCATTTTCGACTTGCCAAGGTTTCGATTTTTCAGTTTTTCAGTTCCCCAATTTTTCGATTTTTTAGGCTCCAGATTTTTCAATTTTTCGGCTTTTCGATTTCCCAATTTCTGTAATTTTAAATATTTCTATTTCATAATACATATTTCTTTTTTTTTTTTTTTGATTTTTCACTTTTTCGATTCTTAAAATTTTTCAAGTTTTCATTTTGTAATTTTTCGTTTTTTATTTTTGATTTTTCAATTTTACAATTTCTCGACTTCCAAAATTTTCAATTTTTCGTTCCTTCAATTTTTCGGTTAGCATCAGTTTTTCAATTTGGCAATTTTTCAATATTACAGATTTTCATTTTTCGATTTTTCAGTTTCTCATTTTTAATTTTTCCCTTTTCCAATTTTTTGTGTCCGATTTTTATTTTTCATTTTCTCGATTTTTTAATTTTCACTTTTTCGATTTTATATCACAATTTTCCTTTATTAAATTTTTCAAATTTTCAGGTTTTTAGCAATTTTTCTTTAAATTTTCCAGTTTGATTTTCACTTTGTACATTTTTCAAGTTTTTATTATAAACTTTTTCGTTTTTTTATGTTTGATTTTTAAATTTTACAATTTGTCGACTTCCAAATTTTCCAATTTTTCAGTATTACAATTTCTCATTTTTCCATTTTTCACATTCTGGATTTTTAATTGTGCCCTTTTTCAATTTTCCGTCCCCTCAATTTTTCAGCTCTCCGAATTTTATTTTTCATTTTCTCGATTGTATATCACAATTTTTTGTTTTTTCATTTCCTTAATTTTTTGTTGTTTCTTTCGATTTTCGAATTTTTCGTTTATTCAATTTTTCAAATTTTCAGGCTAATCGATTCCAATTCGTCGATTTTCCAATTTTTAAATTTTTCGATTAGCAATTTTTTAATTTTGCAATTTTTCGATATTACAGTTTTTCATTTTTTGTTTTTTCACATTCTCAGTTTTTAATTTTTGTCATTTTCAATTTTTCGTTTCCTCAATTTTTCAAGTTCTCGATTTTTATTTTTCATTTTCTCGATTTTATGTCACAAATTTTCAATTTTTCGTTTGTTCAATTTTTCGAATTTTCAGTTTCTCAATTTTTCATGTTCCCGATTTTTATTTTTCAATGTGGGGAATTTTTAATTTTTATATTCTCGATTTATATCACAATTGTCCGTTTTTTCATTTCCTTTATTTTCTGTGTTTTACACTTTTTCATTTGTTCAATTTTTCAAATTTTCAGGCTTTGAATTTTCAGTTCATCCATTTTTCAATTTTTAAATTTTTCACTTTGCAGTTTTTGGATTTCCAGTCTTCCGATTTTCCAATTTCTTTAATTTTAAATATTTCTATTTCATAATACATATTTTTTTTTTATTTTTCACTTTTTCGATTCTTAAGATTTTTCAAGTTTTTATTATACACTTTTTCGTTTTTTTATTTTTGATTTTTCAATTTTTTAGAATTTGTCGACTTCCAAATTTTTCAATTTTTTCATTTTTCCATTTTTCACATTCTGGATTTTTAATTGTGCCCTTTTTCAATTTTCCGTCCCTTCAATTTTTCAACTCCCCGATTTTTATTTTGCATTTTCCTGATTTTTTATTTTTCATTTTCTCGATTTTATATCACAATTTTTTGTTTTTTCATTTCCTTAATTTTTGTTGTATCTTTCGATTTTCCAATTTTTCGTTTATTCAATTTTTCAAATTTTCAGGCCAATCGATTCCAGTTAGTCGATTATCAAATTTTTTAATTTTTTGGGTTTCCACCCCTTTTTTACTTTTCGGATTTTCAATTTTTCGTTAAAGTTTAGATTTCTCAAATTTTCAACAGTTTTATGCTTCGATTTTTTATTTTTTTTTTTCAACTTTTCGGTGTTTTAATTTTTCTTTTTTAAAATTTTTCAATTTCTTTTATTTCTCGATTTATCGAATTCAGATGTTTGGATGTTTTGATTGTTCACTTTCTCAATTTTTTTCTATTTCTCGATGTTTCGATTTCGATTTCGATTTCAATTTTTCTAAATTCTGGAGTTTCGATTTGTCGATTTTTCGATTGTTCAATGTTTTAAATTTTAGATTTTTTTTCCAGTTCTTCAGTATTTCTATTTTACAATTTTTCAAATTTTGATGTTGTTAAATTTTCAGTTTTCCGATTTTTCGATTAATATCATTTTTTTTTATTTTCCCGTTTCTCGAATTCGCAGTTTCAATTTTTCAGTTCTTCAATTCTTCAGTTTTTCGTTTTTTAAACTTTAGATTTTTCAATTTTCGACTGTTTTGTATATATTTCGATTTGTGAATTTTTCGAGTTTTCAGTTCTTGTATATTTTAATTTTTCTTTTTTTCGAATTTTTTTATTTTTCGATTTTTCAATTTATCGAGATTCGGATGTTTCGATGTTTTTATTGTCTCAGTTTTTGAATTTGTGTATGTTATTATTATTATTATTATTTATTATTTAGATTTTTCAGGCTCCAGATTTTTCAATTTTTCGGCTTTTCGATTTCCCAATTTTTCAATTTTTTAATTTCCCAATTTTTGGATTTTTCACGTTCTGGATTTTTCGATTTCTCGACTTTTTATTTTTTGGATTTTCAATTTTTCGTTAAACTTTGGATTTCTCAAATTTTCGACAGTTTTATACTTCGATTTCTTAATTTTTTTCAACTTTTCGATGTTTTAATTTTTCTTTTTTAAAATTTTTCAATTTTTTTTATTTTTCGATTTATCGAATTCAGATGTTTGGATGTTTTGATTGTTCAATTTCTCAATTTTTTTTCTATTTCTCGATGCTTCGATTTTTCAGTAATCCGATTTTTCAATTTTTTTAGATTCTGGAGTTTCGATTTGTCGATTTTTCAGTTTTTCGATTTTCAAGTTTTAGATTTTCGAATTTTTCTTTTTTGATTCTTTGCTGTTACTTTTTACTTTTTGGATTTTCAATTTTTCGTTAAACTTTAGATTTCTCAAATTTTCGACAGTTTTATACTTCGATTTCTTAATTTTTTTCAACTTTTCGATGTTTTAATTTTTCTTTTTTTTTTAAATTTTTCAATTTTTTTTGTTTCTTGATTTATCGAATTCAGATGTTTAGATGTTTTGATTGTTCAATTTATCAATTTCCCAATTTTTCGATGTTTCGATTTTTCAGTCATCCGATTTTTCAATTTTTTTAAATTCTGGAGTTTCGATTTGTCGATTTTTCAGTTTTTCGATTTTCAAGTTTTAGATTTTCGAATTTTTCTTTTTTGATTCTTTGATGTTTGTATTTCTCCATTTTTCAATTTTGCGATATTTCAATTGTTCAATGTTTTAAATTTTATATTTTTCGATTTCTGAATTTTTTGATTTTCCAATTCTTCAGTATTTCTATTTTACAATTTTCCCGTTTCTCGAATTCGCAGTTTCGATTTTTCAGTTCTTCAATTCTTCAGTTTTTCGTTTTTTAAACTTTGGATTTTGCAATTTTCGACTGTTTTATATATATTTCGATTTGTGAATTTTTCGAGTTTTCAGTTCTTGTATATTTTATTTTTTCTTTTTTCCGAATTTTTTTATTTTTCGATTTTTCAATTTTTTGAAAACTCGATTTATCGAGATCCGGATGTTTCGATGTTTTGATTGTCTCAGTTTTTGAATTTTTCAATTTTTCGATTCTTTAGGTTTGCAATTTTTCGGATTTTCCATTTCCCAATTTTTTAATTTCCCAATTTTTGGATTTTCAATTGTCGTTTTTTGAACTTTCCGTTTTCACAATTTTTCAACTATTCGATATTTTAAGTTTTCAATTTTTAAAATTTTAAGTTTTTCGATTTCCCGAGTTTTCAGTTCTTCTATATTTGAATTTTTCAATTTTCGAAATTTAAAGTTAATAAATAATAAGCATGGTAAATTTTTGATCAAAATGTATTTGCTCATCCCCCCTAAAAAATTGATGACGTCGCCCCAAAATTTTGCTGAATAAATTCTTTTGAAAATATGATCAAACTAGACTTGTAACTTATCATTGCATCCACATTTTTTACATTTGCTTATACAGGGTGACCAAAAAAAAATTAATGAAAAAAAATTTATAGAATGAGATCAATTTTTTGTTGGTAAGGTGTGGAAGCCCAACACGGGCCACAGCCGCGAGCCCACCCTCATCAGCGCGTGGCAGGCCCTCACCGAGATGAAGTGGCGCCACTCGGGGACGCTCCTCTCCTGGGAGCAGTACACCCAGACGGCCATCGCCACCGGGGACTCGCGCGTCATCCGCTTCTGGGACGCGGAGCGCGAGCTCTTCGCCTTCGACATCCTCACCGGCTCGGACTGCCCCATCACGTCCATCGACTCCTCCTTCTCGGGGGTGTCGCACGAGAACTACAGCAAGGCGTACCTGGAGCGGGAGAAGGACGACGAAGGGATCAGCATAGACGGCGAGGAGGACATCAAGTCGTACCGGTACGGGATGGTGGTGGCCGGCTACCAGGACGGCTCGATCCGGGTGTACGACAGGAGATGCAGTCCGACGGAGGCAAGGGTCGGGGTGTTCATGGAGCACTCGGGGGCGGTGTTGGGGGTGCACCTGCTCGGGAACACGTTCTACAGCGGAAGGTGAGTCGCACGAGTCGAAAGGCGGGTTTTATACAGGGTGTTGCAGTGCCGACGGGTCTGTTAAAGTTTACGATATCCGAAACCACACTGTTGTTCATAGCACACAAGCAATCCAGAATACGATGTCGTGTTTTGCGTTGCATCGAGGAACTGCCACTTATGCCTGGTGAGTGACACTATTATTATTATCATTGTTTAAGTATATAATAGTTGGACAACCTATACGGACAATTACTTTCCCATGTAGAAAAGAATGAACATATATTTTACATCTCACTCGCTTCACTATGAAGTGGCGGTACCTTACGAAAGGGAGTAAAAATAGTCTGTAAGCACGTGATGTCGATAAGGTAGTAAACGGACGTATTAGTCAGTACGTTGTACGGGGAGCAGTCACAAAATAACCAAACATACGTGTTGAGGACTTTACCTATATGTAATATATTTATATATGTAGTGCATACCTGTTTCATGTGTGTGGTAGCACGTATATTTGCTATATATCCTAAAACTGAAAAATGGAGAAATCCAAACATCAAAAAATCAAAAAAATAAAAATTCGAAAATCTAAAATTTAAAAATCGAAAAACTGAAAAATCAACGAATCGAGAAGTCGAAAATTTAAAAAATTGGACAATTAAAAAATCGGATAAATCAAAAATCGAAACATCGAAAAATCGAGAAACCGAAAAGCAAAAGTCGAAAAATTGAGAAACCGAAATAGGCCAAAATCGAAAACTTAAATATGGAAAAATTGATAAAGCGAGAGATTCAACAATCAAAACATCGAAACATCCGAATCTCAATAAATTGGGATCTCAAAAAATTTAAAAATTCGGAAATTTGAAAAATTAAAATATAGAATTGGAAACTCGAGAAACCGAAAAATCTAGAAATTTATAAATTAAAACATGGAAAAGTTGAAAAATTGAGAAATTGGAATATAAGACAATAGAAAAATTGAAAAATCGAAAGTATAGAAAACGAAAAACTGAAAATCCAAAAATAAAAAATCGAAAAATCTAGAAGTCGAAAAATCAAAGAATGGAAGTATTGAAAAATATCAAAACTGAAAGAAATATCCAAAAATTGAGAAATCGAAAAACCAATAAGGCGAAGTCGAAAAATCGAAGAATTGAAGAACTGAAAAATCGAAACTTTGTGAAGTGGGAAAATCAAAAATAGATTAATTGAGAAATCAGAAAACTGAAAATTTAATGTAAAAATTTGAAAAATTGAAAAATTTAAATACTGAAGAACTGAAAAGTCAAAAATCGAGAAATCGAAAAATCTAAAATTTAAAACATTGAAAAATTAAAATATCGCAAAATTGAAGAATCGGGAAATCCAATTCAATTTAAAAAATTGAAAAGTTAAAATTGAGAAATCGAAAAACTGAAAAATCACAAAATTGAACGAAAAATTAGGAAATTAAAAAATTGAGAAACAGAAAAGTCAAAAAAGCAGAGTCGAAAGATCGCAAACTTAAAAAATCGAAAAATTGAAAAATCAAAAACCTGAATAATCGAAAAATTGACGAACTGAAGAACTGAAAAATCGAAACTTTGGGAAGTGAAGAAATGGGAATATAAAAAAATAGATTAATTGAGAAATCCGAAAACAAAAATTTCAAAAACGTCAAAATTTTAAAAATAAAAAAATATTGAAGAACTGAAAAATCGAAAAATTTAAAATTTAAAACATTGAAAAGGTAAAATATCCTAAAACTGAAAAATGGAGAAATCCAAACATCAAAAAATCAAAAAAATAAAAATTCGAAAATCTAAAATTTAAAAATCGAAAAACTGAAAAATCAACGAATTGAGAAGTCGAAAATTTAAAAAATTGGACAATTAAAAAATCGGATAAATCAAACATCGAAACATCGAAAAATCGAGAAACCGAAAAGCAAAAATCGAAAAATCAAAATACCAAAAAAGAAGTCGAAAAGTCGAAAAATTGAGAAATTGAAATAGGCCAAAATCGAAAAATCGAAAACTTAAATATGGAAAAATTGATAAAGCGAGAGATTGAACAATCAAAACATCGAAACATCCGAATCTCAATAAATTGGGATCTCAAAAAATTTAAAAATTCGGAAATTTGAAAAATTAAAATATGGAAAAGTTGAAAAATTGAGAAATTGGAATATAAGACAATCAAAAAATTGAAAAATCGAAAGTATAGAAAACGAAAAACTGAAAATCCAAAAATAAAAAATCGAAAAATCTAGAAGTCGAAAAATCAAAGAATCGAAGTATTGAAAAATATCAAAACTGAAAGAAATATCCAAAAATTGAGAAATCGAAAAACCAATAAGGCGAAGTCGAAAAATCGAAGAATTGAAGAACTGAAAAATTGAAACTTTGTGAAGTGGGAAAATCAAAAATAGATTAATTGAGAAATCAGAAAACTGAAAATTTAACGTAAAAATTGAAAAATTTAAATACTGAAGAACTGAAAAGTCAAAAATCGAGAAATCGAAAAATCTAAAATTTAAAACATTGAAAAATTAAAATATCGCAAAATTGAAGAATCGAGAAATCCAATTCAATTTAAAAAATTGAAAAGTTAAAATTGAGAAATCGAAAAACTGAAAAATCACAAAATTGAACGAAAAATTAGGAAATTAAAAAATTGAGAAACAGAAAAGTGAAAAAAGCAGAGTCGAAAAATCGCAAACTTAAAAAATCGAAAAATTGAAAAATCAAAAACCTGAATAATCGAAAAATTGACGAACTGAAGAACTGAAAAATCGAAACTTTGGGAAGTGAAGAAATGGGAATATAAAAAAATAGATTAATTGAGAAATCCGAAAACTAAAATTTCAGAAACGTCAAAATTTGAAAAATAAAAAAATATTGAAGAACTGAAAAATCGAAAAATTTAAAACATTGAAAAGTTAAAATATCCTAAAACTGAAAAATGGAGAAATCCAAACATCAAAAAATCAAAAAAATAAAAATTCGAAAATCTAAAATAAAAATCGAAAAACTGAAAAATCAACGAATCGAGAAATCGAAAATTTAAAAAATTGGACAATTGAAAAATCGGATAAATCAAACATCGAAAAATCGAGAAACCGAAAAGCAAAAATCGAAAAATCAAAATACCAAAAAAGAAGTCGAAAAATCGAAAAATTGAGGAATTGAAATAGGCCAAAATCGAAAAATCGAAAACTTAAATATGGAAAAATTGATAAAGCGAGAGATTGAACAATCAAAACATCGAAACATCCGAATCTCAATAAATTGGGATCTCAAAAAATTTAAAAATTCGGAAATTTGAAAAATTAAAATATAGAATTGGAAACTCGAGAAACCGAAAAATCTAGAAATTTAAAAATTAAAATATGGAAAAGTTGAAAAATTGAGAAATTGGAATATAAGACATCGAAAAATTGAAAAATCGAAAGTATAGAAAACGAAAAACTGAAAATCCAAAAATAAAAAATCGAAAAATCTAGAAGTCGAAAAATCAAAGAATGGAAGTATTGAAAAATATCAAAACTGAAAGAAATATCCAAAAATTGAGAAACGAAAAACCAATAAGGCGAAGTCGAAAAATCGAAGAATTGAAGAACTGAAAAATCGAAACTTTGTGAAGTGGGAAAATCAAAAATAGATTAATTGAGAAATCAGAAAACTGAAAATTTAACGTAAAAATTTGAAAAATTGAAAAATTTAAATACTGAAAAACTGAAAAATCAAAAATCGAGAAATCGAAAAATCTAAAATTTAAAACATTGAAAAATTAAAATATCGCAAAATTGAAGAATCGAGAAATCCAATTCAATTTAAAAAATTGTAAAGTTAAAATTGAGAAATCGAAAAACTGAAAAATCACAAAATTGAACGAAAAATTAGGAAATTAAAAAATTGAGAAACAGAAAAGTCAAAAAAGCAGAGTCGAAAGATCGCAAACTTAAAAAATCGAAAAATTGAAAAATCAAAAACCTGAATAATCGAAAAATTGACGAACTGAAGAACTGAAAAATCGAAACTTTGGGAAGTGAAGAAATGGGAATATAAAAAAAATAGATTAATTGAGAAATCCGAAAACTAAAATTTCAAAAACGTCAAAATTTGAAAAATAAAAAAATATTGAAGAACTGAAAAATCGAAAAATCTAAAATTTAAAACATTGAAAAGTTAAAATATCCTAAAACTGAAAAATGGAGAAATCCAAACATCAAAAAAATAAAAATTCGAAAATCTAAAATTTAAAAATCGAAAAACTGAAAAATCAACGAATTGAGAACTCGAAAATTTAAAAAATTGGACAATTAAAAAATCGGATAAATCAAACATCGAAACATCGAAAAATCGAGACACCGAAAAGCAAAAATCGAAAAATCGAAATACCAAAAAAGAAGTCGAAAAATCGAAAAATTGAGAAATTGAAATAGGCCAAAATCGAAAAATCGAAAACTTAAATATGGAAAAATTGATAAAGCGAGAGATTGAACAATCAAAACATCGAAACATCCGAATCTCAATAAATTGGGATCTCAAAAAATTTAAAAATTCGGAAATTTGAAAAATTAAAATATAGAATTGGAAACTCGAGAAACCGAAAAATCTAGAAATTTAAAAATTAAAATATGGAAAAGTTGAAAAATTGAGAAATTGGAATATAAGACATCGAAAAATTGAAAAATCGAAAGTATAGAAAACGAAAAACTGAAAATCCAAAAATAAAAAATCGAAAAATCTAGAAGTCGAAAAATCAAAGAATGGAAGTATTGAAAAATATCAAAACTGAAAGAAATATCCAAAAATTGAGAAACGAAAAACCAATAAGGCGAAGTCGAAAAATCGAAGAATTGAAGAACTGAAAAATCGAAACTTTGTGAAGTGGGAAAATCAAAAATAGATTAATTGAGAAATCAGAAAACTGAAAATTTAACGTAAAAATTTGAAAAATTGAAAAATTTAAATACTGAAAAACTGAAAAATTAAAATATCGCAAAATTGAAGAATCGAGAAATCCAATTCAATTTAAAAAATTGAAAAGTTAAAATTGAGAAATCGAAAAACTGAAAAATCACAAAATTGAACGAAAAATTAGGAAATTAAAAAATTGAGAAACAGAAAAGTCAAAAAAGCAGAGTCGAAAGATCGCAAACTTAAAAAATCGAAAAATTGAAAACTCAAAAACCTGAAT